TTTTTTCATCTTTTTTCTCTTGTTCCTCCTGGCACCCATCGTTGAATTCAGATCCATCGTTAAGAATAATACACAAAGCACATGCATGGTCAAAACAAGTATATAGAACATCCCACAAAACAAAAACCAAGAGATTCCCGAAACAAAACAAGTATGGAGTACATGCATCTTTTATTGTTTTAGACTTTTGGTATTTTAATTTCTTCTATCTGTTTACTTCTTGAGCGTTTTCGCTGATCTTGTTTGCAGGCAATTTGAAGCTTTATTCTGTTTCTCTTCCCTGACTCAATTCTAAATTGAAACCCTAGTTTGATTGATCTTAATAATGGGTTTTTTCTTTTGGTAGATTTTCTTGATCTTTGTGGAATGTCTAGTAATATTAGGAAAACTCAGTTAGATTTTTATCTCACTTTTTTGGTTTTTTATACTTGAAATCCTAGTGACAGAGAAAAAAGAATGGTTGAAAATCTTCAGTTAACCTGTAAGCATGTAGAACATTCAAAAACTATGAGATTCTCAATACGAAAAAGAAGAAGAGGGTCGAGGTAATTAGATGGACAATTTGAGAAAAAAAAAATGTAATTTTCCCTGTGAGGGAAAGGAATGACATTCCATTCTCTTTGTAATGTGATTCCCTACTCTCATCACACTACAATGATATAACTTTACTATTTACTTTATACAAACCAAACGTTATAATGTGATTATACCTATTTAAATTATAAGGAATAACCCTCACTTACACTATACCAAATGCTTTTCAGCTTTTCTTTTTTAATTTCTTTAGTTGCGAGATATTTCTAACTCCTTCACTGCATATTCTGCCAGCAATCGACTTCATCCGGGACCAGAAAAATTTTGAGTAGTTTTGTGCACTTCGAGTAGAGCACATGGATAAAAAGCTTGTACTGAATGATATTTTTAATCAACATTACAGATATATCAGTAAAGGAAAGCTGCCTTAACACATGGAAAATCCAATATATGGTATTTGAGACCAATCGGTAACATCAATGGAAAAGCTGATACGACACCTAGTTGAATTAAATGTTTCGATCAATAGTATTCCAAATTTCAAATTAGCAATTTGTAACTTGATTTTTATTCTAACTTGCGTTACACTTCAATTTGATTGTTTGCTTGTCCTCCATTAGGTGGAGTGCCATTTGAGCTTATCTTTTCTTTCTGTTAGACATTGATTTCCATCTTTCTTTGATAAAGTGATACTAAGTCAATTGAATTTTTTTTGCTTCTATGAACTTATTACAATAAATTTAATATTCGAATGTTCCTTAACTTTTTTAATGAATTAAATATATTAATACTTAATTAATTACGTCTTACAATATCAATAAGTTTATACAAAACACATGCAACGTAATGATTTAATGCACAATATTTTTGTCACGTCTCTAAAATGACATTGACCATTGAGAGGATAGAATCTTCATCTTTTCTTCAAATTTGTTAAAGAGGTGATCAACAAAAACTAAAAGCATGTGAAAATCAAGCTTATAAACATGAGCAAATCATGCCAAATTACCAATGAAATTTGTAGCAAAAAAAGAGGCTTGGTTGTTGTCCTCTTTGAGCCTTTTTTTTTTAAAGAAATCAGAAAGCGAGCCCATTTTTTTTCTCTCTATAAGTCGGATTGCACAATTGGGTCAAACACTGTCCCAACTTCATCAAATATTTCA